TTGGGCCACCGTGGGGTTAAGCCTTTCAGGCAGGAACCCACGTTAAACCCTTGCCACAAATTTCTGTATACTAAAACCATGCTCGGGATATGTAATGTTATTCCAATGATTTGCATATCAGTACTTGATATCAGGTGTTTTGTTTTTGTACATCACGTTGAGAATTATAGAGGCATCGCCAAGTTGAGTGTCTTACCTACATTGTTTGAACGAGTTGTAAGCTTTTGCTATCAAATCTTACATTTCTCTATTTCAGCATGGCTTTCGGAAAGGAAGATTTACCGGCATGAATCTCTTAAAGTTTACTTGCCGTGCTCGTTTTCAAGACTTTTTCTACTGGCTGTCGCACGGATGTCGTACGTACTGATCTTAGTAAAACGTTTGACTTAGTTAACCATAACTTATTGATGTTCAAACTCCATGCTTCTGTTTTCCATTTCTACTTAGTGAAATGGATGAGCTCTTATCTGCATTACATCTCAGTGCATGCTGACGATGTTAAACTATCTTCTTCCCTCTCGTTGGAATCGCAATCGTATCAATGTCAAATTGGCTTAAATAACTTGGCTAGATGGTGCTGGTTAAATTTTACGAAATTAAATATGGGAAAATGCAAGAAGCGTTCCTTCTCAAGAAGGAAGTGTTTCAATACTGAGTATTTCATTAATTTATACATGTCAGCAAAGGTTGATTCGTTCATCGATTTAAGGGTTCTATCCGACCATAGGCTACCTTTTAATTTTCACGTTTAGCTCTCCTTAAGTAAAACTAGGTCAGTGCGTGATTTCATTAAGAGATAGTCCAAAGAATTCGAGTGTCCTTACATTACAGAAAGATTATACATGTGCTTAGTTAGACCAATAACTGAGTGTGCCTCGGTTGTGTGGTTGTGTCCTATTGGTATTATGTAGATTCAAAAGAATTTGGTCAAAAGCAATTTGGGATAAGACCCTCTCTCTTCCTCTTTCTGAAGATACGTTGCTTTTGCTATTCGTCACTTTTTTTATTTATTAAAAATTAATTTTTTCTTTCTATCTCGTTTTTAATTAAGTTAATTAATAGTACAACCAAGTCGTCCACATTACTTAGTGTGATAAGCTCTAATGTACGGAACCGCTTCTCCACGCCGTTTATTGTCATTAAGCTGAGTCAATGTAACTTAATTTGAGAGCTTTTCTAATCCGTTCAGAGCTGTTTGCAGAAACCTAAATCCCGTCTATAGCTTGATCTCAATATCGGACTCTTTAAAGTCTATCAAAAAAACCTCGCTTGACACGCACGATGTCGTATTTAAACTAACTTGTAACCTTAACCCCTTATTATGATTCGAAGATTAACCGGTGTTGCCAAACTTTTGCATGTTTCCAATGGTTTAGGAGTTCACTTGCAACTTGGACTTGTATCGGTTGTGGGTGTACTTCTGTGCTAGTTGTCTACATTCGTACATGAATTATTATTTAAGTGTTTCTGCTTTTCCTTACATCTCTTTATATAGTTTATACACCAGTTTTCAATAATAAGATTTACTTGTAAGAGTCAATTGAATTCGTCTGCTAATTTATTTTAGTTGAGTTTCATGCGTAAGTAAATGAATAAATAAAGATCAAATCCATCTACGTTTCCTTCTTTCATTTTTCTTTCATAAGGCTTGGCTGACAATCGTAAGTGTTTTATGTAAACTTTGTGTATGCAGATAATAAAAAATTTTAAAGACATTGAGATTGAAGTTTTTGCGCAGAGATTACATTATCGTCTCCTTTATTACGTTTCATCAATGCGTTAAATTTCGAAATTTAACTCTCCCCCTAGCGTTAATTACCGATTAAAGATTTACTCGGTGTACTGTCTGAAGGGATTATTTTCTTTCTGCTTTATAAACCCGATGGCGAATTTTTTTAATTATTTGGTTGCGATTATTGTACAAAGCGAAGAAAAAAAAAACATTATACGCATGAGAATATAATTCAAACAACTGCGCATACATAAGTATGCTTATATTGAGCATACGAAACCACAATTTGCTAGAAATGTTCTACATGTCAGTTCGAGAGTGGGGGGCGGTTGATAGAAAAAACCATTTAAACTTGAGGATTAACCACTTGGACTAACCGCAACAAAATTACTGTTGTATTGCAACTTTAAAGAGGAAAAAACAAAAGTATAGCATGTAAAAACAACAAAGGGGAAACTAAACGCTTACACCACATACCGCAACTAAATGTTTTTTTTTTTTTTTTCGTAAATAAAATATACGTGTAACGTAATGCGATGATGAAAAATAAGGAAACTTTGTTTTAAATGAACTTTAAACGAATCGTTTTCAATACTTTTCACATTTTACGCGTAAAATGTTAATATGAAGTAAAAACTGAGCAAACGAGATAAACGTTTACATCCGTTAGAGTTTATTTGGATCAGAACGTTTGTGCTTTGCAGCCTTTTCCTTTGGCAAATCATATGGCAAGGCGAGCTTCTGAGCAATGAGCAATGAGCTTCTTAAACTGACTGTAACGACTATTTCAATGAAAGAAAATTGTTAAGAAATAATGTTTCGACTAATTTATCGAAATTCCCACGTGCTGTACTGGAAAAGGTTCTTTTAAAGATATTTTTAGGAATTCGACGAAAAGAAGCGAAAATTATTTCAGTACGAAAGGTTCAATTGTTTAGAAATTTTTTTCCATTCGCTCCTAATCCTTGCGCGGGACTGCGCGAGTATTTGAGGCTATTTTGAACTTGGAACTTACATCCTTTGATTATTTCATATCGCATTTGCAAAATTTTTCTTTACTTTTTATTTACTTTGCAACTAAGCCTATAAAACTTTGATTTTGCACAACATTTTTCTAAACTAGGGTTAACTCATTGACCGAATCGCGGTACTCGCAAACAAGGACAAGAAAAATCTTTGCCGATAAGATAAAAACATTGCATTACGATTTAGCCGTAGAGTCACAAAAAAAAGTGGTTCAATGCTCAAGTTGATGTGTTCTGCTCCTATTCTGAAAACCATGAATTTGTCGATTGTTACTACACCGTTACAAATTGACGACTAAACGAATTTACAGGATCTAGTAAATCTTTGTAGAATACTTTGCTGCAAGTCTTTGTTGCTTTCATGGAGTAAACGCAAGCGTCATCACAGGATAATAGTGCTTGGTCGCGGGCAATTACCACGAAACATCTGATTAGTATTCAACAATGATAATTTCTCTCTCATTTTCGAGAGCCTAATAAAAATTTGATTTGCTTCCATACAAACAAAAATTTAATTCTTGACTATCTACTCTAATATCTTCTCAAACCTTTTTAATATATTTTCTAGGCGGGATTCTTCATATTTTACTATTTTTTCTTTTTTCCTGCTTTTTCAACAAGTATTCCGAACACTTCAAAATAGATACGTGTTAAGGTTAAGCAAAAAAAAAAAAATTGAAGGAGAAACTATTATATATAAAGAAATAATATTCTATATAAAAAATAGATTTCCCTTCAATTTTTTTTTTTTTTTTAGTTTCAATTATTCTTATAATAATCACAATTCCTTCGTAGTTTTTCTTTTTCCGACTTGAGCTACCTACGTTTCGTATATAAAAGAGAATTATTTGTAACTATTTCGACCTCACGAAAGAGAACAGAACAAATATATCCTGAAATTTTGCGCTTGCAGAAGATAAATTTAAAAACATGAAAATTCAATTAACTAACTTACCAATGATAGTTTGTTGTTATATTTAGTATTACTTTTATGATAGTTTTTACCATTTTTCTGCTCTTCATCGTCCTCATCATCATTATTATCAGCATCGTCATCATCATCATCTTCATCGTCATTGACATCATCAATATCGCCTTCGCCTCCTCCTCCTCCTCCTCCTCCTCCTCTATCGTTTTGCTTTTCATCTTGCACATAATAATAAGATTTACGATCACGTTGATAAGAAGGTAAGGCATTAAATTGTCTCCCAGTATGTTTAACAATTTGCTCACTGTTATCATCAGCATTGTAATCAGGTTGTAGAAGTGCTTGCGAATTTGACGACGTTAATCTAACTACAGCAGCAGGATTTTCCATACAATTTCTTGTTGTTATATTTGTCGATGTATTATTACGATTGGCTAACAAGTGTTTACGTCCTATAAGTATTGCTGTGTCTGCAGGTGTAACCGTTGTACAGCTGGGGGTTAGTGGTGAAAAAAGACTGGTACCATCTTCCATTTCGTAAGATTCACTTTTGCCTGAGTTCGTATAGCCATCGTCGATTCCACTGATATGATTTTGACATTTTTCTTGTGGCTGTTGCGGTTGCTGCTGTTGCTGCTGCTGCTGATGTTGCTGTAAATTATTTCGGTTACTCAATTGCATAAAACTGTTCGTCGTGTTAGTAGTATTCTCCGTAGAATAATTCCCTCGTGTTGAATTATAAGGATATGATGTACTTAAAGTGAAGTTGTTTGAATTCTGAGTAGATCGTCCATTAATACGTGCAGAGCGATAAAGAGGACGGGAAACGCTGAAATGTGTGAATAAAAACAAATGAGTAAGAAACGAACGCATCATTACTATCAACAAACAAGTTTATTAAAGTTTTAAAGTTAACAGTTCACGCATAAACACATATTGTAGATACTAGTGACGCTTACTATAGCTGCGTACTCTGTTTACTTCTGTCACGATTAACACCACACTAAATGTTCGACTACAAAAAAAGAAAGTATTTTTTTACTTTCTTATATTCATCATTAGGTGCTTATACAATCAAGCAATAGCGCTTATATTAACCGGTGTCTTCAAAGTAAAATCATAGTTTCTAATAAGGTAATGTATAGAGTCATTAATTTTGTAGTTTTGAAAGTAAAGATAAACAAAAATAAAATATAAAGTACCCGATAGTCTTTAAATATAGCGTTTTCCCTTAGAAGCCGTACTGAATGACGGCCAAGAGAGATTTAACTAATCTTACAGCTGGTGTATAAGTGAAGATGACTAGACCTAAATAAAAGCCTGGGCGTTAACCACGACGGCACAAAAGGAATACTTGACATGATAACATAACGGCAGAGAGACGGACAATTAACTACGGTTTTTAACAATAGATTGCCGGATGTTGGGTATATATTTATTTTGCCTGAAATGAGTCGATTTAGATCAAACATCGAAATTGAAGATGTTTATTATTTTTAAGAAATTTTATTCAAAATAGTTTTTACATATATAATACTGTATCCAAAAAGTAAGACCAATATTCAAGTTAAATTGGGTTGGAGAAGAGACTCGGATCTACGCGTACGAGCCGAGAACATTCGACCGAATATCGCGAAAAAGGTGAATCAAACCTGGAAAGAAGCGCACCAAAGTCCCTCAAAAGTCAAAGTTCTCTTCGATTATTGTGGTGTTTTACGCTGTGAACTGCAAACTGTTAATAAGGAATAACACTGAAATGTTTTAAAAGCAATGAATGCCATGAGATTGGTGTCCAAGGATAGATAAAAATTATTCATTTTGTAAGCAAATTCACTGTGCTTATTGAACACAGCAGTACATATATAATTTATTGCGTTTATAAAATGCATTTTCCGAAAATTGTTTCAGTACATTCAGCACACATGGCCTTACTTTTGTTTCGCTTTGCTAGACTAACAATTTAAACGTTTTGATGTCTAATTTATTTGATTTAGCCGGGATGCATTAAGTAAATGGGCGCTTGGCTCTAGTTGCAAAGTATTGCTCATCGACTATTATGTCTGTTCCAGATTTTATAACAAGTTACAAAGAACAGCTCAATACATATTTCCTATACTTTATTATATAATGAGTCATATTCATTCACATCAAAAAATGATGGTAAAACACATACGGAGTTTGAAAACTCCCGAAGTGAGGGGAAGAAACTAGTATTTGTGCACATTTCATATTCTTATGAAAAGTCAAAACTTGGTTTTAAAAACGATTTTTATTTTTCTTATTATTATTTTAACGAATTTAGCCAGAGAATAAATTCTAATGCCGAAGCCTTAAAGCACTAGCATCCAAGGCTGTCGGTTTTATTGTAAACTCTACGGTACTTGAAAGTTGAATATAATAATAAAATTTTTTCTAATATAATTTCCGGTCCCCAACGAGTAACGTATTCCTATGTCTCGTAGAGGGCCTATAATACAATGGAGAGCTAGACATGAGGTATTGGATTTGGGATAAACTCTCTCTTCTTGACAAGACAAAGCCTACTTAGCATCATTGACCTTTTAATGCTCCGCTGAGATTTTGGTCTAGTCACAAGCGCCGTGATATACCCCTTGGACTGTTCTCAGTTATAAAAACTTCGTCGCTTCCATTCCAATGTACCGTAAGTAGGAAAAACTCCGCCTAAGTAGGCGAGTTGATAAGAATCTCGACTACCAAATCAGCGTTCGCAGGTGTAAATCTCAAGTTCGGTAAAGTTTTCGACACCCTTTGCCCATAAAGCAACGAAGTGACAATATAAAATAATATTATAATCATTAAATGCCTATCAAACCAAATGATTTTATGAGATTTTCATTTTATCCCAGATTATATTAGCTCAACATCTGAACATAATTTGTTGAAAGTTGTTTACGAAGGAGGATTAAGCGTACAGCTCACCTTCTTGTTTCCATTATTTTATTAAGAATCTATACGTTTCGAACACTTTTTGGGACTTTGAGAGATCCATTAATCCATGTCTACATAAATTGATAGGCAGATGGATATCTTAAAATTTTTCCATGATAAAGAACCATTTATTTTCATTAGTTGTTACAAGTGAATTAATAGAATTATTATAATCTCTTTCAATTTTAGGGTGAGGGATATGTAGTGAACAGTTGAAATTAGAACTTACTTGTATTGGTAAATTGGCGAATCAGTTTCTTGTCGCCGCCTCGATGACATCATAGAGTGAGCCCGATCTCCGCGGGCAGATGCCATCACATACGTCCACATGGCTTTTCATCACCTTATTGTCGTTGCCATTTTCCATTCATATTAGTTTTATATAAGTCAGCGAAATAAAAATTTTGCACAATAAATGAACTGATGATTGAATTGTTCGTGATAAACATCTGTTTTGTATTCAAATAATAAAAAAGTCAATAAAAACTGTACTCATGCACGCTTTTAAGCATATGCATAAATTCATTCGATTTGTATATCGATGCACATTTAAACACACGCACCGGATTAATCTATACTTTCGCTGTGCCTAACACATCGTTGTATTCGTTTCATAGATATCATAGTCCCTTGAGACTTTGCTTTCCTATTCATTCGCCATTAATAAATATTGTGTGTGTGTATGTGTACGTATTTCTATTGCTGTTGCCGTTTTTATATTTGCTGAATTCTTTATCGCCAAACCGGTTTCCTTAAGCCCATAGAAGCGCTTGATTAAATTTTCTTCTTCGATTTTTAACGTAATTTCCGTTAAATCATTGCTTCAACGACATATATATGCGTAAATTTACTGCCGAACATTTCAATGCCATCTATCACCGTTCTTTAGCTCGCACTGTGATTTAATTGGAAAACAAATTAGTGAGAATTCAATTGACACGTTGCGAATGAATCCCTTATCTGCAACCATAATAAATAAATAAAAATATTTAATTAAATTCAATTCCTTATGATAACATTTGCGGTAATAATTTTATTAAAAAATATAACAAACAAAATCAGCCATTACGAAGAGAAATGATTCATCAAATACTTCTTTCTTCGAAAACTATTCAAATTCCAATCTAAAACTTAAACTTCAAAGCCGATTTATTGAAAACAATTCCGTCCTTAAGACAGAGGGTTGGATTATTTCAATATGGGAACGACAAGCACTTGCATAAGCCTTTAGGGAAATGATTTCAGAAGGGCCTGAACCGTGCCTATTCTTGTAGTTTGTCAATAACTTTAATAACTTATACACAAACACCGTAAAGAGCAACTAGTTCTAGAAAATGTATTATTCGTGAAGTAAGTTACTTTGCAACCATAACTATTTCTGTAATTACAGATGCTTAAAATGACTCAACAAAGTCGAAATTTGTTTACATAAGCCTTTAAGCAGTTCATACGAAAAAACTGGAATGATTGAAAATATGTTTACAAAATTATTTTTTTTTATTAAATTAATGGTAAGAAAGGACCAACGGGGAGGTTGTCGCTTTCTGTGCATCGGAAGTAATATTATTGTCAAAGAAAAACCTATTTTGTAGACAAATTAGATTAACATCTCTTTTTGAATTCGTTTTTCTTAACAAGCAACCATTAAAGCATTAGATACTTAACACCTCTTCGCTTAATACCTTTATTCATGAAGCCTCAAATTTTTTAATATAACGGCTTTTCAAAATAGTGCGTTTTGTGGGAAATGTTGATTGTTATTATTATTATTATTATTTATTGAAACAAAGTAAATTTGAAAATAAGAAAGCACTTAAATCCTATTTATCATAGCGTTTGTATATACATTCGCACTCTATTTTTGATTCAATGGCAAAAATTCAAAATATTATCTTATAGTTACTAATTAAGTGCGCAAATTATTCTTCCAATATAAACCAAAACTTCGAATCTCGTAATTAGCGGTTGCACACCTACGGAAGCCTGAATTATTTAGAGTGATCAGCTGATACAGCGAGAAAAGTAAGCAGGCATTTTAGTTTAGTATTGCCGTCTTTATCCTTTTTATTTCTTTATTACGACGGCGTAATATCATACAGTTTAGGGATGTCATTGCATTGATCAACACGCAAATCAAAGTGGATGGTTCATCTCGTAGTTGGTACGAGGTGAAGGCAGCGTCAACAGACGGGCAGCTGGAACAGACTCTTCCATGCCAAGCCACGTAAAGCAAGAAAAATTTTTCCACCCACTTGATTTGATCGACGTAATTGTATGAATACTTGTAGTTCGTAGACCAAACTACAATTGAACTCCAAAATCGGCCGAGAAAGTGCACTAAATAATCTTTTGCGAATGTAGAGGTCTTTAAATACAAACAACCATCGTTTAATAGAACTTTTCGTTTTCTTAACCCTGACATAGAATTGTAAATTAAAGCTCAATTTACGATCCAATACAACCACCAGATGAGTAAAGCTCGAAACACATTGAAACTTATAGGTATCAATAAAATAGTCAATAGCAATCGGCACTCCTCTGCAAAACATAATTTGTTAGCATTTGGTCAAGTGAAATGCCTTATAGTTATATTTATACCGTATATAAAACTCGTCCAAAACAAGTCTAAACGCAAGCATCTGGCATCCACTAGGGGATTAAATGAGCAAAATAACTTGGCATCATCAGCAAAAAATACTTTTGAAGATAGTAAACGAGATGATGGAATGATAATGAATAAAATAAAAAGTAAAAGATCCGAAAGGCTCCTCTGCGGAATACCAGATACAGCTTGTATAGATCGAGATATATAAGAATTAAATAACACACATCGTGTACGACTAATTAGATATGATATAGACCGTGCAATCAAATTAGTAGAGAAGCCAGTACAGTACAACTTACGTGCAAGCAATTTGTGATTGACTCGATCAAACGCTTCATTAAGGTCTGTGTGAACAACGTCAATTTGTTTGCCCTGTGAAAACCCTGTATAGACTTAACAAACAAGCTCCAACAGGAGCACTTAATAAAGCCATTTGGAGAGAACGACACAATAGACACCAGCGACGGTCCAAGTCTTTTCGATGTTCGAATAATTTGGAGAGAGCGGCCAGTTTAGCAATTCCTCTATAATTTTCATCGTTCTTCTTATGAAAAGCAGTTAAACAGGATTCTTTCCAAAAATAGCATTTCCTGACAGAAGAATAAAATAGCAAAGTTGAGGGAATATGAAGAATATTAAAAGAAAACCTTAAGATACACGGCGGTATCCCATCCGGACCAGGTCAACATGATGATTTTAAAGCGGCTAGGGTACTGAAGACTTCTATGTTAGTAAAGATAATATGAAGAAAAATATTAAACGATTCTAGATGATATGAATAAGTTATTAGTAGTTACACATTGTTACAAATATTTATGGAACTGTAAGATGCACTACTAAGCTACGACTACGAACTAACAAATTTAAGAAAACACTTCGGATTCGTCTGAACCGAGTGACACATTTTGTTGATGTAAGCATTGTAACAATGCTTATTCAAAGTATTAAACACGCTTCTTCTTCTAGAGTAATTGGCCAAATCAACAAATGGCCCAGTTTTTTTATATTTTCTAAAAGTCTGTTCCCTTTATTGCGTACTACTCTTAGCTCATTGGGAAGCCACACCGGCGATTGTTCGGCAGTGAGGTAGGGCTTGACAGCAACACGCTCAGATATAGCGGAATAAAGAATTGAGTAAATAACAGACAGGCTCCCATCGATGTCACCGTAATCAAAATCCCAAGAGATCGTAAATAACGCGATATAAGTTCTGACATAATTAGTTTTTTGAAAGAGAAATCACCCACTAGAATTCTTGATAAATACCGAAGATGAGTTGGAGATTCTGGCTGATCAGTTTAGCTATATCAGAATGGTTGATGGATATACATTCTCCCGAACGACTAATGTGGGGAAACGAAGAATGGATACATTCTTCGCACTACAAAAGACCAAGTCCGAAAGTTTATTAAAGGAATTCGTAACATGGTCCAACTAGATACAGAATCCAAATAGCCACGCTCAACATTGAAGTTCCAGGAAACATTAAGTGAATTAAAATCTCCTAATATCAGTAATGTATCCGCGAGATTCATTTTTAAGGACGCCAAGCAAATGCGATGGAAGTGATTTGAATAAGCACTATTATCAGACGTCAGAAGTGTATACGAACACGTTGTAAAAATAACGTTACCACCAAGTTTCAGCGATATTACAATAAAGTCTACATCAATTTCTGTAGACGGTAATAGCCGGCGGTAAGGGAGAGAATTTACCACAGCGATTAAAACTCCACCCTCAACCTTGTTAAACAATATACCCTTGATATTCCGAAGAAAACGATTCCGCATCCAGAACACTTGGCTTTCGCCAAGTTTCTGCAAATGCAATAAGCTGATATTCAAAATTATGAGAGCCAACACGTACATACTTAACTTTAGTATTAAGCCCGCGGACATTGTGATAACCGACGGACAAAAAGCTAATTGAAGCAGAATTATCCTCCCTTCCCATAGCAATATTACCCGCAATGCCAAAATCCGGCATTCTAGCATTCCGACGAGGTAAAAAGTCCTTAATAAAAACTCCGCCAGGCCAACATTTTCTGTCAAAGATACGCGAGTAATAATAATATCGGAACAAGGATTTGAAACGACGCAGTTTCTCTAACACTAGACTTTTGACTTAATTGATTTTTGACATAATTGATCTTTGACTTAATAAAGCACTCAATTATCTCCTCTGATAAATTGAAACAAATAAAGCCTTTAAAGGCTTTTGCTTACGGCCCTGTTGTTGTGTGCTAATTGGACTCTTGCTTGCTATATTAAGAGAGAAGTCTGAAATAGATGCGCGACCATCGTCTGAGGGCTGAGACGAACCATCCATGCTCCTAGAACTACTGTCTACGTCACCTATGCAGGATCGAAAAATGCTGGACACCACCGGCCACGGGCATTCGCTTGGTTTACCGCCAGGTGCTGGGTCAAGGAAGGCCTTTCGGTAACTCACTCAACGTGCAGACAGAATTTGTACTATTGACCGAATCCTAAACAGCTGACGATTGCTCAGACATTGATGGAGGCGCAGAGGACGATCCTAAAGAAGTAGTAAGCGAAGTACCAATCGTAGACGCGGATACATCTTTTCGGGAACATGTTTCATAGACACGTTGGCGTCCATAATAATTTTGTGGACGTCAACGCACTAAGAAGCATTATTATTATACAATGTTGCCATCTCATCAAGGCATTCACACCCGTCAAGGGCAGTCTTCTGATCTTCAAACATATTACACATATCACGAAAGCGTTTGGAAATCTTCCTGAAATCGTCTCTTGCCTGCGAAAGCACCTTAAACAACTTGATCTTATTTTGGTTGTACTCTTCACGCGACCAGTACAAGCTCTTGATGTTTTCGCAAATAATATCGAAGACAAGACAAGATTGATGCCAGCATATTTGTGACACATTACGCGGTCACAGTATTGGTGGAACAAATATCTCTCATCTGGGTTTTATTTCAAGATGAGAGCAAAACAAAACCCACACCTTAGAAATTCAACAAACCACAACAGCTTCCGAAATAAAAAACACTTTATAAAACAGCGGATCCTGCGATTTGTTGTTGGAATGCGCTGACAATCACTTTTGCTTTCATAGAGTTTAATTCTACAAATTAAATGGCAGACGAAGAATTCTACAGTAAAATATATTTATTGAGATTAAGTTATTAAAGAATTGCAGTTGACAAAAATGAAATAAAACTCTGGAAAGACAAAACTCTAACCCCAAAACTGTTACTTCACTCTAGCACATATCGAAGGCAAATCTACGGCTAAAACTTGCTTCCTAACAACCTCCTGCGCGCTCAACATTTGTTTCACATGGGCAATAAAATACGCACATGAATTAA